AAGATATGTTCTTCCAATATACATATTTGATCTGGTATATTTTCCTAGTGACAGTTATGTTCACATCACATTACTATCTAGCATAGTATCTCCTAGCGCCTCATGTGACCGAGCATTTTGGTTAAAAATTAAAACGCATATTCTCACTAATGAACTATTAACAACGTTTAAAAGCATTGGAAACGGAATATGGCCGTAAAATAACAAATAAAAACCTATCCAAAGTAAGTAAGCAATATCAGAAAACCATTGGAAATCAGATATCCTATGAAATATAATTTTTTTATATAAAATCCCTATTCACGATTTGCACGTAAATTTTCATAAATGATCAAAATGATAGATACGTTAAAAACGACAAAAACTTTCTTAAAGAACCAGTTAACTAGAGTTTTTAATTTTGTAAACTATGTAGAGTCAGGTAAAACAAAAAAGGATCAGTTAGCGTGAAGATTATCAGTAGCAAAAGATTTATTATCAGATTTTCACTCAGTAATAGTTCAGCTTCTTATATTAGATTTAGATGAGACAAAAATAAGAAATATGAATCCGAACTATGGTCTGTTTTTTAACCAGGAGGAGTAATTCAAAATTTCCGCGCCGTAATGCTTGTTTGCAATTGGTCCAACCGCAGGCAAGTTTACTCCACTAAATTATGACATATTGACACTAACGACATTTGAGAAATTTAGGTATTTATTATTATTATTTTCCTCTAATATTTAATATATAAATCAATTTCTGACTCTTTAAGTGTGGTAATAACTTGGACTTGGTGATATGCGAATAGTATTTAATGTGATATTTTTCTAGATGATATTTATACTAAATATAGTTTAAAGTGTTTATAAATGTATGTTATTTATATCTAATTATCATAAGAAAAACGGCAACTATCTTTTAAATTTAGTGTATACTGTTAAGAAGCATTTCCATTTTGTTTTCACCACAATAAAAGAACATTAGTAAATTAATGTTGTGTTTTAGTTTGATTGTATGATACTGTTGGTTTTGTTCTTCCTGGTTGTAGATCATCACAAGAAAACTGCAAAATTATGCAAGAATGTAACATAATAGATTGGATTTGTTGATTATCTCACAGAAATCCAGTATTTTTTAGTAAATTTTATTTGTTGATAACAAATGGGACAAACTCACTGTCAAAATTAAACAAGAATCCAGCATTAAAGAAATTGTAACACACTTATTTATACAAAGTATCTGGTAACAAAAAAAAAACTAGATTCAAGAAATTGATCATACCAGAATAAGAATATGGTCTATTATTAAAAGACAACTTTCTGAGAAAAACCATACTTAGATCTGTTACATTATTGACTCTCCGGATCAAAATATTCTCTAAATTATAATTAAGTACCATAGACTTATCTATAAAACTGGATCACCCGATACATACATACATATATATATATATATATATATATAAATATATATAAATATATATATAATATATATATATATATATATATATATATATATTATTGTGATATTTAAAGTCTTGGTGCGCCAAGCAATAATTAGCTAATTAATTTTTTTGATTAATTAAAATTATTTAAATGATATGATTATGACTCTATCACAATTTTTAATTCTTTTATCTCAGGGTTAAAATTCGTGCTTCAATATCTATGCTATTACATGTGAAAGGTAAGGTCCAAAGAATACCGGAATAATAAAAAAACACATATGATCTAACACTATATATTGAAATAAAAATAATGAAATATTCACACTCAAAAGTTTTCAATAAACAAAATCTCATATAATAATTCTCAAAATTTTGTTCTACGTACGTGAACAATAAAAATTAATGGTACAAACAATATTAGTTGAAATCTCAAAATCCAAGTATTACTCTAAATCTCCTAATCAAAATATTTATATCCTTTCTAAATTAAGTGAAAAAAATTGTGTTATCAATGAAAGAAAAAACTGCAGAAAACAAAACTATCTCTCTCTGATGATGAGTGGTCCAAATCCTTGTTATTTGTAGACTATACTATTTACTCGTGGCCGCTCCCTAATAATCAGCAATCTTACAATAAATTATTGCAAGTATCTCGTCCTTAATGATCTCCTTCAAATGCACGAATCGTTCAAATTATGCTCGCTTCTTCTTTTCTCAATAAAACTGAATCTCTCGTTGGCCTGAGTGAAAAATGACTCTTGGAATATCTTTTCTTTACGATAAACTGAATCTCTCGTTGGCCTGAACAGTGACTCTTGGAATATAAGTAGAAAAATATGACTTACAATATTTTACTGGATCAGCTTCTGTCAGATACACTAACTACACGAAAACTCACAAACTTTCACTGCTACTGCTTCCTACCTCTGGGAAACTACCCGAGAACAACCGGTCGTTCGCCTTGCACCCTTGGAAACCAACTGACTATCTTTTTTTACTCCGAAAAACTAGCTAAACTTTCATTCCTACATACCTATCCCACCTTTTTCAATCTCCGTCAATCAAACTCATCACAATTTCCCCATTTTTTTCATTTCGATAACAAACAACTTTTTACATATAATTATAAAATTTCCTAAAACTTATTTACAAATAATATTTTTCTACATTCTTAAAAACTAACAAAAACTCTTTCTAATCTCTTCTATTGTCTTTAATACCTGCGTTAATGTATTTGGAAAACCCGGTTCAATTGTTCTTTGGATTTCACTTAAAAATTATGGGGGTCACTCAAGTATAGTATAACAAAGGAAATAATTTATGCTTAGCTTACATTTTGTTTAATACAGGTAATCCAAAATTTTAAATATTTTCCTTCTTCGAAATGTTTGTTGGGTATTTTCCTACTTATCGGAATTATTTTAATGTTTTTGAACTTTGAAATATTTTAGACAAACCAATATCTTTCTCGATTTTATATATCATAATATATATATACATATATATATATAATATATATATATATATATTATATATATATATATATATATACATGGGACCAAATGTGAAAAACGTCCTTTTTTATTGTAATAATTGTAATATATATTGGAAGTGAATAGAAAAAAATTATTTTATTATTCAAACATAAATAGACAATGTTAGGTAAAATTGACGTGTGAGGTTGTCTAATATTGATTACTCGATTTCCGCAAGGCCGAGATAATCAACAAAAAAAGATGTATTTGGTGACTTTTCTAGTAACTTTCTTGAGTGTGAATCTGTCTTTTTGGTTTACTCCTCCTTGTTAAAAAACAGAGTATAGACGAATTTGAAAAGAAGTTTTTTTATTGTATATCCAAAGCGGATATTTTAATAAAAAAATACATTTAATCAACAAGCAGACACAGTAAAATACAAGTTATAGTTCACAGTTACAAGCTTCACAAGACATAAGGTTACCTTGTATTGATCTTCCAAAATTCAGTGGGGCCTCAGAACGTGGGAGCTCATGGTTCGAGTTTTATGACGGGTTCACTAATTTAATTGGTAATGATCCTAAATTAAGTAACATTAAAAAATTTTATTATCTCAAATCTTGTTTCGACAGACAGTGCGGCAGCAGTAATTTCTTCTTTGGAGCTTACGAATGAGAATTATACGATTGCTTGGTCAATCTTAACAGATCGATTTCAAAATGATAAACTCATCGTACATTGTCATGTTAGGGCGTTATTTGAGTTATCCGTGATACAAAAAGAATCAACTTCTCAACTGATTGATGAGGTAAATAGAAATATAAGAGTATTAGAGTCATTTAAACAACCTGTAACGGAGTGGTCAACAATGCTAATATATTTTATAACTTCTAAATTAGACAATAACACAAGACGTGAGTGGGAATCGGAGAATATAAGCAAAAAGACACTTCCAACAATTGCAGAATTTTCAAGTTTTTTAGGTCAACGTTTACGTCTTTGTTAGTGTTGCCCAAATGCAAGAACAAGACGAGACTTGGACAGTCTTGGTCTTGGTAATGCACTCCCGGTCTTGGTCTTGTAGCAAAGGTCTTGCAATTACCCATTAACCTATTGATATTTATTAAACGTTACTTTAAATCTTAGAAAAACGTAACAGAGCAAGTAAATTTTAAGCTTGAGTTAACATAGCCGTAATAAAGACCAACCAAATTAATAAATGTCTAAACAACGGACACCGGGTAGGGTTTGAAGCCACGATCTAAGCAATCCATACTTATGCTCTAACTAACATAGCTATCTACCATGCACCACGGAAGTCAATCTGTTTCTTAATAATTGTGTATGTTTAGTTTATTGTCTATTGTCGTTTTATTAATATAGGCAAAATGAAAAACTAGGTGGACTGTAAACACTGGCTTTATTTTAACTAACAAAACGCTGTTTAAACTAAAACACTATCGTCTTTTGTAAAATGAAACTAATGAACGAGTTTATTGTTTGTTACTGAACTGCGAGCTGCTTGCTTGTTGATGTCTTCTCTATTGTCTGTTAGGTGCGCGCACTCCTGGCTAAAGTCACGCACACAGTTGCCGGTTGTAGTAAAAATCTAGAATAATTGTTTGCGGCGCAAACATGCCCCCGGCCTTGAAATCAAAAGGCCTTAGCTTTCAATTGGTAATGGACAAATTTTCGTAAAGCTCCGCTTAGTAAGAGTATCTCCACACCTGGAGCACTTTCTAAATATATCGAAAAGACGAAACGAGTAAGAGGAAGCTGTTTCAACAGCAAGCATGGCAAGTTGGCCATATTTTGTGGAAATTAATAAACCCTTGTATTTTTTATGGTTTAATTTAAAAATTGATTAGTCAAATGACCACTAATTACAAAAATAAATTTTATCTTAGAACTAATTTATATTTTAAATATTACTCTCTAGTGTGCGTTGTCAAATGCTTCGATAAATTATTATTTTTAGTAACTTGCTTAAAATACATTTAAGAATTTTCATAAGTGTGTAATCCAATCACAACTGTATTTTCAAATTACTTGTTTGAATAATTTGCTTAAAATAAATTTAACACTTATTTGCACACTTAACACACTTTTCCAGGGTGTATTCTTAAATGCTTTTTCAAATGTTCAATTTGACTAAATTGCTTAAAACAAATTTCGCACTTGTAAGGCTTTTCTCCAGTATGTATCCTTAAATGCCTTTTTAGATTTCCAGCTTCAATAAATTGCTTAAAACAAATTTCACACTTGTAAAGCTTTTCGCCAGTATGTATCCTTAAATGTTTCTTCAAATATCTAATTTGACTAAATTTATTAGAACAAACTTCACACTTGTAAGGCTTTTCTCCAGTGTGTATTGTTAAATGCTTTTTCAAAGAGTCTGCTTGAGTAAATTGCGTAAAACAAATTTCGCACTTGTAAGGCTTTTCGCCAGTGTGTATCCTTAAGTGCCTTTTTAAAGATCTTGCTTCGATAAATTGCGTAAAACAAATTTCGCACGTGTAAGGCATTTCTCCAGTGTGTATTGTTAAATGCTTTTTCAAATGTCTAATTTGACTAAATTGCTTGGAACAAACTTCACACGTGTACGGGTTGTTTCCAGTGTGTATCTTTAAATGGTTTTGTAAAGTTCCTGATTCGGTAAATTGTTTAAAACACATTTCACACTTGTAAGGCTTTTCGCCAGTGTGTATCCTTAAATGCTTCTTCAAATATCTAATTTGACTAAATTTATTAGAACAAACTTCACACTTGTAAGGCTTTTCTCCAGTGTGTATTGTCAAATGCTTTTTCAAAGAATTTGCTTGAGTAAATTGCGTAAAACAAATTTCGCACTTGTAAGGCTTTTCGCCAGTGTGTATCCTTAAATGCCTTTTTAAAGTTCCTGTATCGATAAATTGCTTAAAACAAATTTCACACTTGTAAGGCTTTTCGCCAGTGTGCATCCTTAAATGCCTTTTTAGATTTCCAGCTTCAATAAATTGTTTAGAACAAATTTCACACTTGTACGGCTTTTCTTCAGTGTGTATCCTTAAATGTATTTTCAAATGTCTAATTTGACTAAATTTATTAGAACAAACTTCACACTTATAAGGCTTTTCGCTAGTGTGTATTCTTAAATGCATTTCCAAGTTTCCAGTTTGACTAAATTGCTTAGAACAAATTTTGCACTTGTAAGGCTTTTCTCCAGTGTGTATTCTTAAATGATTGTTCAAATAATCATTTCGACTAAATTGCTTAGAACAAATTTTACACTTGTAAGGTTTTTCTCCAGTGTGCATCCTTAAATGATTTTTCAAATGTCCAATTTGACTAAATTGCTTAGAACAAACTTCACACTTGTACGGGCTGTTTCCAGTGTGTATCCTTAAATGCTTTTTTAAAGTTCCTGCTTCGGTAAATTGTTTAAAACAAATTTCACACTTGTAAGGCTTTTCTCCAGTGTGTATTGTTAAATGCTTTTTCAAATAGTCTACTCGAGTAAATTGCGTAAAACAAATTTCGCACTTGTAAGGCTTTTCTCCAGTGTGTATCCTTAAATGCTTTTTTAGATATCCAGCTTCAATAAATTGCTTAGAACAAATTTCACACTTGTACGGTTTTTCCTCAGTATGTATCCTTAAATGTATTTTCAAATGTCTAATTTGACTAAATTTATTAGAACAAACTTCACACTTGTAAGGCTTTTCTCCAGTGTGTATTGTTAAATGCTTTTTCAAAGAGTCTGCTTGAGTAAATTGCGTAAAACAAATTTCGCACTTGTAAGGCTTTTCGCCAGTGTGTATCCTTAAATGTAATTTTAAAGTTTCTGCTTCAATAAATTGCTTAAAACAAATTTCACACTTGTAAGGCTTTTCTCCAGTGTGTATTCTTAAATGATTTTTCAAATAATCATTTCGACTAAATCGCTTAGAACAAATTTCACACTTGTAAGGTTTTTCTCCAGTGTGTATTCTTAAATGAGTTTTTACATGTACATCCTGTCTAAATTGCTTAAAACAAATTTTGCACTTGTAAGGCTTTACTTCTGTATGTATCATTAAATGTTTTTTTAAATATCTTAATGCAGTAAATTCCTTCAAACATGTTTCACATTTATACGAATTTTCTCGTGTGTGTGTTACCAATGATCTTTCGGATTTCGTTTTAATCTCGTTCTGACGCAAACCTAAAATAAAAATAAAACTATAAAACTTTGCGCGCAGAAATGGCAGATTATAAACAAAATGTAACAACTATAGAATAAATAAAGTAAAAACTAAACCACAACAAAAGTTCAGATGATTTTGATTAATTAGGTATATTATTTTATAGAGGGCGACGCATTCTGCACCAAACGGCAGCGGTACCTGCACTTTATCACTAAAAGTTTATATTCGTCTGTTAGTATTTTAAACGTTAAACATTTGTCTATTCTATTTGAGTTTATTGTATCATTTTTGTGATGCTTATGGTAATTCTGAGCTGAGTCTCATTTAGTATATGTTCATCTATAATACATTTTAAAACATATTTGATCGGGTATATTCTCCTAGTGACAGCTACATATGTTCACATCACATTACTCTCTATCCTAGTATATCCTAGCGCCTCATGTGACTGGACCTTTAATGTAATCATTTGGCAAAAAATCAAAACGGATATTCTCGATAATGAACTATTAAGAACGTTTAAAATTATCGGAAACTGAATAAGGCCGTAAAATAACAAATAAAGACATATCCAATATAAGCAAGTGTCCATTGGGAGTGCAGATAATTAAGACATATTAATTACACCAGTAACACAAACACTATTATGATTAAATTACTATATGCAATTAATCTGCTAATATAAGCAAACCATTAAATAATTAGAAAACATAAAAAGTACACTGATTTGATTATAGTTATTGTCCGTCGGGAAAAATGTTGATACTCTCTTCAAACTTTGAGTATCGTTTCATTAGGACGAGTCTGACACGATATCCCTCTGCGACTTTTTTTTTTATTCTGGATCTCTAAGTTTCCCGAAAATTTTCACCTGCCAAATAGTAAAATCGCAAAAGAAGTTCCGTCGACGGCACTAAACTATTATTGTTTCTCGGAATTACAAGGTACACGATGATTTAAAAATTAGTACAACGTTTTAAATGCTAAGAATTCACAAACGTTCAGGAACAGAAAATTTTGGCACTGATATCGCAGATGGAGCAACTGAGATTCCTGCGTATTGAGGCCGTGTACTGTTAGGAACGGGCGTGGTGGAAAAACCCTACGAATGGTTGGCTGGCGAAGTAAGCAAACACCGTTTGCAAATCAGCAGCCAAAAACCAATTTCATTGTCTCGATAAATGGACACATATTTCGAGACGAGCCTAGAGGATTGGCTATAAGAAAGGTGCAAAGGCCACCACTACTAACGCGGTATCACCGCAGAAAGGCCTTTCAGATGCCCCATTTCTCTGGGCGTCAAGGATTCAACACAATAAAACCTTTAGTCTAACCTAAAACAACAAAGATATTTTTTTCGCAACCGATAGTCTGCCTGTTTTTAAAACACTTAGAGCATCACTTGTCAAAGAAAAGATTAATATATTTATAGGCAGATTAAGAATCATAACGTTTTTAAAATCCCTTTTCCCGCTCATGAAGCTTGTTTACTACATCATCCATAGAGAAAGGCTTAGTACTTTTTTTCAATCTTAAGTTTTAACATTTCCTTTTCAAAACAAGTATTTAACTTTTAAAGCTTTCAATTTTCCTAATAAGTTTGGGTACACCTTTACATGCAAACATAATAAACAGCAAACACTGCAGAACAACAGCACTAATTTAGAGGCACCTAAACCTGTGCATTGATCAAAATGGTGCACAGTAACGTGGCATCTATGACACGTGACGAACTTAATAAGAGAATCTCCACACCTGGAGCACTTGCTAACATTATCGAAAAGTAAGACGAAACGATAAGATGCACTGACGAGAATAGTTATATTAATACCTCGACTTCATCTAAGGAAGCTGTTTCAACAACAGACATCTTCTGTTCTGTGATGTTTCAGGAGAACTTCAGTAGTTCTCCTGAAACATCAAGACGAAGCAGAACTAATCTGACTTGACAATGGCAAGTGTGACCTTGCCGAAACGTCGTCAAAACAATGGTTTTTCTAAAAACCAAAACTATTTAACGTGGAGTCAAACCCGGAAAACAACTGAAATCACACACACACACACACACACACACACACACACACACACACACACACACACACACACACACACACATATATATATATATATATATATATATATATATTGAAAAAGTTGTATTTTATTAATTTAATTTTTATTTATAATAAATGTTGTAATTTTTAAAATATGTGGTTCGTTGTTTAATTTAATATATACCTCAGCTAGCTCAATTATGTGTTCTAAGCAATCTGTCACTGTGTGACGTCGACTCTGTAGTCTCCTGGTAGAGTTCAAAAAGAAATTAAACCAAAATTTACTTTAGACTTTCGATAAATTAACCCAAATGAAGCACGTTAATTATTAATATTGAACAAATTTAATATAAACAATAAAATTCGTCTGCAACTTGGGTTGCCTTTAAAAATTTACAAAAATAGGAATCGTGTAAATCTTAATGTGTTTCAGTGTCGTGACAATAAAAATTTATTACAAAATGTGGAGACTCTCTACAAGTACCTAAAAACTAAATAAATATTGCAACTTTATAAAGTGTTTAAATGAACTATAAAGAAAAAGAAACTGAACACTTTATTCCGCTGGCTTTAAACTTGCATTCAAATATAATCAAAATTTCAAATGATCCCAAAATTATTATTCAACCTCACTTTAAAACAGTTCTGATTTCTTTAAAGAAAACTAACTACTCGCAAAATAATCGGTGAAACTGGAATATCAATCCTCTCTTCGGAAATTAAGGTACGTACTATTCTATTTTTAATTTAATGATCATTAATATTTTCAATTTTTAAGGCCTATCGCAATTACGTTAAATTCATGAATTTTAATTTTCTCAATTTAAATGACATTTCTATACTCCAATATAATTTATAAGTCAAATTGTTTCTCTTACTCTCTGGAACAAATTCTGAATATCTCTGCTGTGGAAAAACTAAATTCTAATTAGACGAGTTAAAAAACACTCCCGACCTATTCCACAGTTTCAGGGCTCTCTTCCCAAAAATCCTCGTCGGCGTCCCAAAAAACCAATAAACCAATTACAGTCAAAATCGTTTACAACGACACCGGCTATAACGTACAATCGGATATAACAAACAAAATAGTAGATCCCATAAAATGACATACAAAAAACGCATTTATATTGCTTATAATGAACAAATCGGTTAGAGCAAACGTATTTCTTGGAACACTAGTAGTTAAAATATTGGTTACATCTTAATAAATAAGTTTAAAAGTGCTATCCTGTTATGAAAATGGACATTGTAGTGTTGTATTTCTCACAGGTATTACCGATATTTAATACCACGAAATGAGAAGTAAGAATTTATTAATTTATGGTTATAGTACATCCGGACAGGCATCTACTTGTCCTTTAGACAGTTAGACCTCCCAAGACGGGTCCATTGTATTACAAAATTTTGTTTATACATATTTCACCATTTGGCCTAAGCCAAGAGTTTCTGAATTTGAATTTAGTTGTGTCTAGCCTTCATTGAAAAAATGTCACGGAAACAATTTACCATTGAGGAACAGTTTGGAATAATTTGCCGAGTCGATTCCGGTGATTCCGCGAGTTCGATTGCCCGGGAATTTAAAACGTCACGCTCGACAATTGCTGGAATAATGAAAAGGCGAGAGAAAATTATTAAGCAATTTAATAAGTGTGAAAAAGGAAAACGCGTTCGGTCATCCAATTAAAGTGACATTGAAAGTGCTTTGCTCGATTGGTTTAAACAACAACGCGCAAACAATGTACCCGTGAGTGGGCCGATGCTTCAGGTAAAGGCTGATGCTTTCGCTGTGATTTTGAAGAAGACTTTTAAGTGTAATGCTTCCTGGGTTCAACGTTTTCGAGCTCGCCACAATATTGTCCATGGAAAAATTTCAGGTGAGTCAGCAGTTGTTGACAGATCAATTATAAATGACTGGGTTGAAAATGTGTGGCCTACACTCAGGTCCGACTATAGCGATGATGAAATTTTTAATGCTGACGAGATGGGGTTATTTTTTAGACTGACACCTGATCACACGTTAAAGTTTAAAGGCGAGAAATGTTCCGGTGGTAAACTCTCAAAAGAGCGTGTTACAGTTCTTGTTGCAGCCAACATGTCTGGTTCCATAAAAAGGAAGCTTTTGGTGATAGGAAAAAGTAAAATGCCGCGCTGTTTTAAAAACGTGAAAAATCTCCCTGTTGATTATGATTTCAATAAAAAAGCCTGGATGACGTCAGCTATTTTGAAAAACTTTACTAAAATGGGACAGTGAACTTTTACAACAAAAGAAACACATAATTTTAATTGTCGACAACCGTCCATCCCACCCTCCAGTTGACAGGTTAAAACAAATTAAACTCGTTTTTCTGCCTCCAAATTGTACGTCTGTACTGCAGCCCATGGACCAAGGAGTTATAAGAAGTCTTAAAGCATGCTTTCGGAAAGAATTGGTGTACAAAATCATCGAAAAAGAGAGAATAACGACGATACGAAAGTCAGTATTCTTGACGCTGTACTAATGATATCAAAGGCATGGGAATCTGTGCGGAAGGAAACGATCATCAACTGTTTTCGTTTTTCCGGCCTAACTAAAGACTTACAACCATCAGGAATCGCATACAACGATATTGCACAAACGCATTTGCAGGATGCCATTTCCCTTTTCAGTTCTGACTGCTCTGCAGATGACTATGTACGAGTAGATGACGAAATAAGTACGAGCGAAGAACTCTCAGATATTGACATCGTACTGAGTCACCAAACTAGTGACAAACAAAGTACTGATGAGGCTGATGAAGAATTGGAAGATTTCGGCAAAATCCATACTGTTGCTGAAGCGTATGCTGCTTGTTCCACCATACGAGCATTTATTCAGACTGCTGAAACTTCCCAGAGTGTAAAAGAATCATTATCGATTGTTTCCACATCAATTGAAAAAATGTTTTTTTCAGAAGTTCAAGGAAGGCGACAAACAAAAATTACAG